ACACACACACACATACACACATATAAAATGATTTTAAATTTACTTTTTATATGATATAAAGAGATTAAACTCATATTTGCAATTAGGGAAAAATTTACATTTTGTATAAATAAATAGTTTCTTTATATCAATTGCATTATCTTAATATTATATTTTATAAGTAAAAGTATTAATATGCATATAAACATAATGTAAGCGAATAAACGGCGTGCGTTTTGTCATATTTTAATACATATAAAAGACTGTGAAAATTATTTATTTAACGTGATTCTGCTTCTCGTCGAAACAAATGATAATCCGGTCACAAAAAAGGAGAACAACCGCGGATACTACACATTGACAAATGTTACTTTTGTACACAAAAATATAATTTTAAGTAATCAAAATATGAAAATATGTTGCCAACTCCTCTTACTGTTATGTATGATTTTACTCGAAGTATCTTTCATTTTTCTGCGTGTAACGCGGCAGTGATGTATATTTAATACAGTCGTTCGGTATATGTGTGTGTATGAGTGCATTTTCTTTCGATATTATGAAAGATTCATGTACGGCGTTACATTATTCAAATTATATCATGGTTTCTCGTACGCGTCGACAGTTCGGGATTATTCTGTCATGGTAACATGTGACAGATACTTGAACATAATTCATATATTGTAAGAAATTTGTTCACATCAGCGTGAAATCTTCAGTGCGATTTGTCTTTATTTTTAATAACTACTTAACGGATTTCTGACTATCAAATAGTTACACGTCACTTATTTACTCCGGTAGATTGTGTAAATTTCTCGTCTATGAACAATCACGTTTTACAATGCAAAATTTAAAAAATGCATTTTGATATAAACTATTTGTCATATAAAAGAATCAAATGTTTATTATATCGATTATAGTTATGTAAATCGATTATAATCGAATAGATAATATAAAAATTGTTAAATTATTTTAATTATAAATAACTGCAACTTTTTTTCCATATAATGCTGCATTTGAATGCACTAAGGTTAAGTGTGACAGGAAGAACAAAAGAGCTCATTGTTGTTATATACGAAGAGACCCAGCAAAATGTTGCGAGGATGTAGATATTTGTCGTAAGTATATTCTTAACTGAAAATTTTGCGTATATATTATTCAAGTATATTCACGATACTTAACAGTCAATTATTATGTGTAAAAATCAAAAGTAAATTTTTAAAAGTATATAATTAACTTATTCCAACTTATATTTTGTTATTATTAAAATTTGATTTAGACAATTATTCAACAAGTTATGCATATGCAACCGCTTAGTGTATTTAAATAAAACTATGGCAGGTATACTCGTAGAAACATGTGTATAACCAATGCTTCTTATATATTTTAGATAAAGAAATAACCGACAGAGCTATTGTAAACGGTGTTGTACATTTTGATGGTCAGACTTTCGATGTGGAGAACAACCCGAGTTAGGTTGTGTCTGCCAGTCAGACTATGAAGGTAATGTTAATTATTATCATGTAATAAATGTACATTGCTTTTTTAACTCTCAAAGTTCTCGATATATAATACCTATTTCGATTATAACTGGCAATTTCATATTGTTAGGTAAAAACGTTCTGCCTTTTTGTGTCAGAAATAACCGTTCCACCTGTTTTCATCTTGCATTCAGTCATGTGAATTATTTTGATAAAAAGTGTGCTCCAGTTTTCTTTAGTAATGACTCTGCCCGCAGATGTATCATATTTATGAGATGCTGTAAGTTTGCGAAAGCGATTTTGTGTACTGCATACATTTCGCCGCCATGTCAAGTCTGTAAACGTTTTTATGAAATTTTTAAGAGCTCCCTGATGATGAAGTCATTTCTAATCCTGTCGAATGGATAAACATGCGCGGTAAGTTTCATATTTATTTTTAAATGTAAATTTAATTGTGTTTTATCATATTCGCGAGGTATTACGTATAGATATGATAAAAAAGATGATTCCTATATCCGTTAAGAAATATTCGCGTATTCAAATGATTCGTTCAACTTGTTACATATCAATTTTTAACGGTAACCCTCCTAGAATGTGAGTATTAGCATCTTTATCAATCTATATTACATTGTTTCTACAAGATTGTATAAAATACTGTTTGTACTCCTCATATGTGCTTCTCGATATGCAATTATATTCAATTTCTCAATCGTGTTAATATGTTGAAAATTAGAGTATTTTATAACACCTACATGTTGAATAAACAGTAAAATTAATATATGGTAATTTATAACACATGTGGAAAAATTAACTTCTTATCTTGTTAAATGGTTTAAATTTATTCATACATTTTTTTCTTTAATTTTACGGATCGCGATATTTAAAGAAAAAAATTTACTACTCCGCGACAAATTGATTCGGTAATCATATGAATATAGTGCGAGGTATATAAAATGAGGTATTGACACGCATTTGAACGGTCAAGCGATACTAATTACACACCGTACTGCAAATCGCGTTAAATAAGAGGTAATTGCGACAAACATTGCATGTGAATAACGAGCACTGCGTAAAATCAATTTCTGTAGCACGTTAATATTATGATCCTATAAAATAACAACTAATTACGAAATATAACTCACTTTATTGCGCCCAATTTACTAAATACAGAAAAGTGTTATAGTGTAGAACAACTGATGCGCTATTAATATTGTCATATTCTATATATGAAAATATAATGATTTATTTGGTGTTCTTCTTTTTCAGCTACGTGCCAATACGGTACTCTGACATTGTAATATGGCGATAGACTGAGGGCAACGCATTGTATGGATTGCGTATGCGATAATCCACCTATGTTGACATTCAGTTATAATAAAAATTAATATTTGGAAGAATAGAAATCACTTTTTAAAAATTAATTATTAATATCCAATCAATGCCATACATAATAAGATATTTTTTATAAAAAAAAACTATGAAGCAATACAAATTCTAAGTTCTAAGTGTCTAATCGTCTTCGTATCATTAAAAATGTACGAGATTATGTCAAGTGAAAGTCTGCAATAAGTACCGACAAAAAAATATCGAGATGATCTTCGAAAAATTTTGACAAAACGTGGAACATTCTAACAGAAATTCAAGGCAATGATTCAAGGCGAGAGGGATAATTTGTTTCAACACAATAATAGTTACGTAATTTAAATGAGCACGCAACGCGCGATGACTGATAAAGCAAATTATTCTATCCAACTCGCGTTTCCTCTTCGCCTGTCCTATTCTTTGTATTTCTTTCGTTTCTCATATTGCCCAGATTTTTCTTCGTCTCTTACGCGGGTTTACGACTCTCTTTCGTACTCTTTCATGCTCGTCTTCATCCTCCTTTAGCGCGTATATTCGCCTGTTTACTCCACCTAGGTATACTCTAACTCTCTCTCTCATGTGTGTCTCAACTCACTTTCGCACACGCGTATGTACTATTTCCCCTCTTCCTACACCGTGTCCCTGCGTCTGCGTCATTCATATATCCACCGTCTTTCTCACGTCTCCACTTCCAGTCCCTTCCAGACTCGACCACTGGCCGAGGTATAAATGACGCGACGCGGACGCGAGCCGCGCAAGTTTTCGTATTGCTCGAACATGACACGTCGTGGCTCTCGTTCTCGCATTCTGATATGCGCCTATCTGGCGTTCGTCACCGTCGCACTCGCGGCCGATCAAGGTGAGTCGCAAACGACAAAGTAAATTAACGCGGAAAAACGTGGTTTATTGTAATTATTATAAAAAAGTTATTTTAATTTCACATCCGCGTAATCGTAAGGTAATAATTAAGTTATTTTCGATCCAATATTCCAATGTGACTCCGAGATGCAGCGCGAGTTAATAATGATGATAATACTGTTTCCGCAATACAAAACCGCGAAAAAAGTATGCAAGTGTTAAAACAATTATATTTAAAAATAAATGTGAAACCATTCCCCGGATTATGCAGTCTGTTAGGATTAAGAATGACGACACATCGGTAGCGAAAAATTCAATAAAAGCGTTTTACAGGATAGACACGCGGCGACGAAATGTGTGCAGTATACAAAATCGCTTTCGCAAACTTATTGCGTGTCATGTTCATATAACACGTGTTGTGAGTTACTTATCATTAAAGAAAATTGAAGCACAGTTTTTTGATTAAAATAATCAACACGACCGAGTGCAGGATGAGAATAGGTGGAATTGTTATTCCTGACACAAAAAGGCAGAACGTTTTTACCTAAAAATATGAAATTGCCAGTTATAATTAAAATAGAGATTATGGATATCGAGAATTTTGAGAATCATATAAGTTAAAAAAGCAATATACGTTTATTACATGATAATAATTAATATTATCTTCGTATCTGTTGAACGTGAAGAATTCGAGTCAAATATTATAATCGTCGAACCGTCTTTTACGAATGCATTGCATTTATAAGACACATTGGTTGCAATACCAGGAAGTTTTTACGTGGCGTAATTAAATGTAGTTGCTCAACATGCTTATCAATACCAATCATTAACTATAATCTATTAAAATTTTGTTGTTATCAATTCTAATGAGGTTTAAGAGATAATGCATCTACGACGCATTTTTTTAGAGACCCTTTCAATTTCGATAATTGTACGAATTTGACTTTTTAATTTCATAAATAGTTTCATCTGTTCTATATCTCACTTAAAATTCCGTTATAATACACGAATGACGACGCAATTCTTAAGGTGACTAAGCACTCAAAACGGTTATATTATCCGGTTAAACATCCATTTTTATCGCGGCATTTTATCGATAATGGTATTCTTTTGGTCCTTTCTTTTTAAGAAAAATGCGATAAAACAAAGTGTCCGGGCCCATTGGCATATTACGAGTCTCTCGGTTGTAGTCCGGTGTTTGCAAACGAGGGCGATTGTTGCGCGACAAAATATAACTGTGAACATCTGAAAGAGAAATCCTCTACCAAGTGTTACGTCAATGGAAAGGCGTACGAGATCGGAGAGAAACTTAAGGATGAGGATTCAAATCCTTGTGACATTGGTTGCACCTGCACCGCAGGATATAGCACAGGAATGTAAGTAAAGAACTTAACATCAATATTTTTTAATTATTGTCTCTTTTTAATGTTTTAACATTATTAAGTCCCATTTATTGAAACTACGTAATTTTTTACAACACAGCGCCGAGTTCAATTGCGCGATAGTTGATTGCTTCAGTCCACCAGTAAGACCAGGTTGCTACAGAAGGGATTCCCCGTTAAATTGTTGTCCCGGAGAGGAAGTTTGTCGTAAGCATACATAATCCAATTAAGTTATAAATTTACTACATAAATTCTTGATGAATTGCTAACTCCGATTTTTACGTAATATATATATGTACCCAAAAATTACATAAAATTCGTGCTATCTCAATTATGTTCTTTCTTGATTCAAATAATTATGGTTAGATGAAAAGATGATATAAATTTTAAATAATTTTAATTTGACATTCGCGATATACATACTAACTTTACGCACGCTTTTTAACTAATATATATATTTATCAGATCTTTTAAGCCAGAGGGCCATAATAAAATTATTCTAGTATAATTAAATTTAACTTTAAATAGTAATCTTGTCAAAAGACATTTCTATCTTAAAATATCGTACACAATATTTAAATAAAGTCATTTATGTCTTTTAGCTGAAAAGCCTGAAGCTAGAGCTGTTTGTAATGTTGACGGAAAGGAATATAAAGATGGAGAACACTTCAAAATTGAAAGCGATCCGGATTTAAGTTGTATATGCCAACCGGGCTATGAAGGTAAAAATAATGTCAGGCACTTTAACGTCATTTTGAATTTTCCAATGCCATATATATATATATATATATATATGTATATAAAATTCTATTAATATAAGCATACGATGAATGATGATATACAATGAATGATTTTAAATTATTACTATCAATATGTAAAAATTGAATTTATATTTTCTTTTGCAATCCGTGACATTTTTATAATAAATTTAATAAATATAAATGAATAATCAATTTTTAGTAAAATAGATGTATTATTAAACGTATTTGTATTATGAGAACTTATCGATGTAATATATTAATAAATAATTATTTACTGACTTATTTTATTAACAAATAAGTCAGTAAATGAAATAATTCAATACTTGATGTATATCATAAAACGTATATATTTATCATAGTAAAAATTAAGATTACCGTTTATTTATATTTTAATAATATGCACAATAACAATTCTCTATAATATAAATTTTCTAGCTTAAACCTATATACTCTAAGTTTACGTCCTTGATAAGAAATTGTACGATTTTAGGGAAAAATGTTGAACCTTTCTGCGCAAAGCCTAAGCGTCCGTATTGCAGTCCCGAGTTCAGAAATGCACACGACATTATTAATAATTGCCCTCCGGTTTATTACTCAAGTCAATCGCCACAGGCTGACTGCAGCGTGTTTTCGAGATGCCGTAAGTTCATGAGTTGCAATTTTGCATTTACACACATACATATCAGGGTTATCTATGCAATAATAATGATTATTTGGATTTTTAGAAAACGATAATGACACTGTTATTCACAACGAGGACAACTCAAAGTCCGTCGACAAAACCTCCCATGGTACGTTTTATATTCAATACTGTGGAGATACAATGATTTTTAAACAATCCAAGATAATTAATACTCTTGAAGATAGTATTCTTTGCTATTTTATTAATTTTACTAATTTTCGGCAAAAAAATTGTAAAAAATTTATATTTTATTCAAGTTAATTCGTTTATTAAATTGAAACATAAATGATGCATCGATACGCATTTGCACATTCAAGCGATGCTAATTACGACTGTGCTTTGAATAGCATGAAATGAGAGTTAATTGCGAGAAATGTTGCACACGAGAAGCAAATCAATTTCTGTCGCAATTCTATAAAATGATAATTAATTTGGTCATCGTTATCCCCAACATAGGAAATTATGTTATAGGCGTGTCAGTTAACACGTCACTAACACCCATAACACGGTTGATGTTTGTTAAAAACAATTTTATATAAATAGATAAATATCTTTTTTCCTTCAATTCTTTTTCAGTATTTTTTCAGTTTTAGAAATTACTACGGAGACAGCTGTATATTTATGCGTTATTATTCGGATATCAATATTCGAAGTGATATTTTAGAATTAGTTTTATTATACAAAATAGAAGTGTGTTTCACATCGAAATTTATTCTTTTCAGACGAAAATGACGTTTGTCATTTTGGCAATACGGTCATGCATCGTGGCGATGAGTTGAATCAAGCTACAGACTACAGTTCTGTGTGCGTTAAATGCGTTTGCGAGGTGCCTCCTTTGCCTACTTGTCAGCGTTTACCGGATGAGGAATGCGATGTCACAAACCATGCGCCTTTCAATCATTAAACATTTCAAAATCTGTGATAATGTGACCACTTCTGTTATTTGACTCAAAATTTTGTAGTAAATTAGTACATAAATGTAAACACCTCTTTACATATGTGTCGTTCCAGTGTAATTTGCATTTCTTTTACTTGTAATAAAAGGATGTTTTTTCCGTACTGCACGTTAAAAAATATGAATTTTAAATCTTTTAGTTATTCCAATTACGCAAATTATAATAAATATAATTGACTCGAAATTACATATTTATAATATGGAATAATGTCAAAGAGCGAAAACAAAATATGGAATAAAATCAAAAAGGCAAGTACCTTTAAAATAAGTTTTATTATTAATGTACTTTATTAATTAATTTTATTAACTAATAAAGTTCACATTAATATTATATTCTAAACTATATTAACTTCAATAATTACTGAAAGTTTGTACTGAAAGTTTGTTATTTTGTTTTTAATTATTTTTTGATTATTCAATTTTGCTGAATAAACTGTTTGCGACCAGTGTTTTGCATACAAAAAAAAGTAGGTCTCGTTATCTTCGACCTCTTTTGAGTTAACCCTAGGGTTATCAGCTTTGTTATGTAACTATGTTTATCAATGAAAACGTTTCTAAATGATATTGTGTGATAGAATAATTATATTTGATTATAATATTAATACTGTTAATCTAATAATCACATATTTAATCAATATTAATCAATTGCAAATCTGTAATTACATTATTTTTATTCAGCAAATTCTCGTCTAGGAATAGTATCGTTAATATCATTACGGCGTGATATCGCGCTATCTTTTGATGCTAACGCAAACGATATGACGTCAGAATTATTAAACCCATGATTTTCGTAGTATTACGTAATATTACGATTGCCGCTAATATGGATGCTTCCGTTTACGGTGCGCACTGATGCTGTAATAATCTACATGTTGGGGCAAACCAATTCCTGTTCTGGACATCGTTTGCTTAGTAACGCGCGTAAACTGGCAACACACGTAGTGTGTTCACGCGCTTCGCCAAACGTTACCTATTTCTCATTTAAAGTCCTAAGTGATTTTACCGTTGACACTTCGCAAACTATTACCGGCATTACCGGCTTGCTTGCGCGTCAGTTCGCGATTTATCGTAATTCGCGGTAGAGAAGTTCCCGCTTTACAACTCGTGAATATGAAGAATACGAAGTAAATTCACTAAATTCGCGGCCTTCAGCTTTTTGCACGAGTCAATTGAAAACGAATTACGAACATATACAAATCTCATGTTTAATTTGATTTGCCAAGTTTATAAATTATATAGGCTGTAAATGCAAAATACAAGTGATATAAAACTAGAAGAGTAAAGTGAAGAAAATATCTCTAATGAAAATTGTATATAAAGAGACTCGTGAATCATATAATGATTTAAATATACATCTTTACTTCACAATTCAGCACGGACGTAACTTCCAGAGACAGAATGCAAATCGTACACTGAGCTCACAAGCTGCGAACTAACCATAAACGATCTTTCGAGATGACAATAAATCGGCTATATTAAGTTTCGCTTAAAATATGACCCGGCACGGTCGGCGGAGTTACCGGAAGTAGGCGGCGATGGTCTGGAGAGCGCCAATGAAATATGAGGGTATGAAAGAAGCGTCGTTTCCGGAAGTTGTACCGTCAGGTTGCTCGATAGCGAAAGTCTACGGCGACAGACAACTCTGTCGCTGAGAACTTCGATGTACTAACGAGCGCGTTGGAACAATTCCGTGATATAATTAAGGAAGAATCTGTAGAACGAACAATTAGAAGACGTAAAATTTAAACTCGGTTTAAAAGCTCCCTTGAGAAGTAAAATCATGAAACGCGAAGTTTCCCAAACGTCGTAAGTCCTATGATTATTCTTCACTTAAAATACGAATGTATTATTGAACTTACGTTTTCAATAGCATTATAATTGTTATTACATTTCATATTATTATACAAATATTTTTATTAAATAAATAAATTGCCAGCTCGTTATTGTAAACAATAGTTAGGATAAGACGAGCGAATATTTTTATTGTTGTTAAATAATGTACATTGATTTTTTAATAATTTGCTTGAATTTCGTTCTGCAGTTCTTCTCCACACCTTTGCCTGCCTTTAGAAAATGTCGAAGTTTTCTTATCATCTATAAGAAAATTGTATTTCACGAGAGAAAAATTAGATTCGTAGCAATCACATTCAGGATGTACAAATTTTCGAGAAATAGGCACGTATTTCACGCTTATACTACGTATATAAATCTTCAAATTTTCGTGACAATTTCCGCGTTATGCAAAGATATGGAAGTGCTCGGCTGACGCTGACTTTTGCGGCGCGGCTGTCTACGTAAATTCTGCCTCTGGAGGCTTTGAGGCCCAACGGCAAAAGGTTGTAGGTTTACGTAAAAAATTTTACCACTGAGAATATTAGGAGGACACACGTCTTTTCGAGGATCAATTTCCAAGTATTTTTATTTTCTATTGCAATCAAGCTTCACACGTCACTTTGCTTGTATCGAATAGATATGCATCACGCACGCTCTAAACAAATTTACCGTATTTTTTTTCTCTTCGTAATATGAACTTAATTCGTTCCCAATAAAAATTTAATTGACGCCAATACAACGAACTATTTGAAACCAATATCGGCATTAATGAAATTTAGTACTGATTGTGAATACTGAAGGAAATCAGGCTCCAAACGTATAAATAAATAACAAAGCTGATTAATTAATTCGTAGCGAACTTATTTTGCAGACAGAAACTTAATTTGAAACTTAATTACAAGGAAGTTTAATAATGAAAATCACAGAGGAGTTCTTTGCGTCAAATGTTTTGCTGCTGCAGGAGCAGTAATTAATTTGTAAATGTTTATACAGGAAATTCAATTTTATTCTTTTCCTATTTTCAGATTAATGGCCGATATTGCGCATATATTCTTGAGGCGCTCCAAATTAATGTTAAATTGGATTAATTATCCACAAAAGCGGATCCCTCGATAGATAACTTTTCACGAAGTTAACGTTACTTAATGGCAGACTAGCATTTAATAAAGGCGATCTTAGCACCCGCATAGACGTCCGGGCCCGCATGTAAAACGGCACACTCCAAGAAACACCGTCGAGCGAACTGATTAGCTGATGGATCGCCTGACTGTCAGGACAATCCGGAATGTACCGACGGAGATGGGTTCGACTGAATCTGAACAATGGAAGTCCTACGATCTGCTGGAACTAATCCCGCCATTGTCGTGCTAAATTTCTGTACGAGATGCAGTTCCACGTAGTTCGGTATAGTTAACTGATTGCTGTGTACGTGTCGACCATATCGTATATCTTAGGTACCATAATATTGCCGTTTAATTTAATTTATGAAGAGTCGGCAAAACCTACAGTCGAATAATTGGCAGAAGTTTCGGCACACGATCGGAAAATGTTGATATGGTAATAAATTCTCTGTTTGAGTTACGCGTTCAGAATATCAAAGCGCAGGTTAAATTTATTTTCTCATGGAAGCTCTCTGCGATCGAAATATCGTGGAATAATTTTCGAAAGAACACGGACCGAAAAAAGATAGTATACTCGCACGGTTGAATGTACTTGTCCATATTCTATTCGTTCCTGGCAAACTTCTCCGAATGAAATTAACCGTGCGCAAGAGTCATTGAAGAGAGGAAAACGCAAGTGGTTTCGAAGTACACGATCTGAGATTAGCCTGATGGCTGCACCGAAATTTAATTAATCCCCGCATAAGGAAAGAGTTTCCGGCGAGTTCTGCGGCGCTGCTGGTGCAAGTTTTTAGCATCGACGGTGAAGGAAACCAGACATCTGTCGGGTGCGGCGAAGCGCGGTGGAGAGACAGCTAGGGGAGCAAGCACGCGTAGGTTAGACAAAGAAGTCGCAACTTCTATTCATGTGTTGATTTAACGAAAGGGGCTATCGCTAAGTTAAATGGAAACTTGCGGAATATCTTAATTATCTGAGATGTTAGGTACGTACAATTAGGTCACGCTATTGCAATTATAAGTTACTGTAAATATTTGATAATTAAAAGCGACATAGTTAAGGATTAAATTTTTTTTCTCGATACAGATATTTTTCTATTATATTTCTAGTACTTTTTATCGCTTCCCTATAATCATATATATCACGCTAATGTTTTACGCACGTAAAATAACTTGTTTCCGCGTCCACGTGTAAGTGCGAAAGATTTTCGAGCGAAAATCTGGACAGCGAGACGGACGCGCTTTCGCACGAAAGCGCGAAAAAAAAACATGCGCGCGGCGAAACGCGGGCTGGCCGATGCATCCATAATTCATGGCGTTGACGGTGTCTAGCATAAACTAACCCGGATACTAATTTCCCGAGCTACCACGTTGCGCTGCGTCGCGCTGCGTGCTCGTTAGGAAAGCGCGATGGCTCGGACGCCGCGAGAGATGCAATTATGATAAACCGAGGGAGCCTCTTCCGAAAGCTTTTCAGGGCACGGCGAGTTCGGCGAGAAAGCCAGGGGTGCCGTGGCCACGGCTCGGACTCGCTCGTTCATCTATCCCGCTTCCGGTTTCCTGTGTTGTGTGCGTCGTGCGCTTCCCCCTCCTCCCCCTCCTCTTACCCCCCGTGACTCCGGCATCCCGCTGCCCTCCCGATAAGCTTCGGGGCTCGGGTGCGGATTCGTGCAAGGGCTTGCGATCGATCTCGCGAGATGAATGGCGGGCTGTTAAGCTTGTTGGGCCAATCGGGCACGGCAAGAGACGATGTTGGTGTTGCTGCGTTATTAATTTACTACGCCGTAATTCCCGATTCGTTTGATTAAGATCTCGAAGGCATGCCTTGTGTCGCAGCAGGCATATTTATGGCCGATGGTTAATGGCGATAAATGGAGAACGGTGTGTCTCGTGGTTAATGAATTTGGTACGAATAATCGCAGCTGAGTAAACGCCAGATTCACGATTGCGCGTGATTACAATTGAAGTTTCGATCATTTATCGTATACGTTATCGAAACCTGAATATCATATATATATTGCATGATGAAACTTGACTTATATCTTCAAATTAATTCCACATCGCGTCAAAAGTTGCCTTGCAGAGATTTAATGCAAAAATTCAACGGTTTACAAACTGCGAGAGCTTTTTACTTCGATATTTACGACAGACATAGACAGGAGCGCTCATAAAATCTGCAAAGTTAACAGACGAAGAGCTTAGCAAAGTGATTATAACGTAACTTTAATAACTGTTTTGCTTGCCGCTGTACCAAAACTTTTTCGAGCAGCCCCGGCGCGGCGTATACTATAGCCAAGAACTTGGGGAGTTTGCGGCAATATTGTGACTGCAAACATTTTTCTTGCCTCAACGTTCTGCATCGGTCTGATAAATTTGCAAATGACGATTTGCGCATCGTCGTAATAACAAGGACGACCCCCTTTCGCGCACGTTTCATTTTTATCGAGTACCTGTTTTGTCATAATTTACGAGTCCCTTCCCTCTTCCCCCTCTCTCTCTCTCCTCGGTTAATTATCACGCTGAAAAACGTCTCTCCTTACTGTCGCGCTAGAAAATTGCACTCGCGACGATCGCGCGGAGGGAGGGGAGGAGGGAGGGAAGGAGGGAGGAAGCACTGTAGTCGCATTACAACACCGTTTCTCGTCTCGTCACAACGCTACACTGTAATGGAAACTTTGCGAAACGCCATTCCGGGAATAATAAACGCATTACCCGTACGTTCTATCTCCCCGTATTTATTTTCGCCCGGCGGCCTTTTAAGTGGCAGTATTTCATTCCGTTATTAAGCTGCACTATCTCTCCCTCGCGCGGCGCGCGCGTCCACCGTGTCCACTCGCGAGCCATTTTATCAGATTAATTTTTTTCCCCCGCGCGCAAATTTTCCCTGATGAACGCTTTGACGGATTAAAAGTTGAAATAAAAGTTCTCGAGTCCCGCTCCCTGCTTGGTACTTTGGCGCTTTCATCCGACAAATTACTTTTACGTTTTCGGCGTGGCTCCTCTCTCTCGTCCCGTTCTTTTATCACGCACGGAAAAGCGAACGTATAAAAATAGGTTGCGAAACACATTTTAAACTGCTTCCTTACGCGCGTGAATTTTGCTGAAATTTTTAACGTTCAGCATACGTAATACCCTATGTGTTCGCGTTCCTTATAAAAGTGTGAAAAATTACAATTTTCACGACGTCTTAATCACAAATGACTGCACTTAAGATTTTGCGACGCCTTAATCTCAAGTGATATCTAAGGAAAGAATCATTTTTAGCTCAATTTACTTCAACAACTGTGACTCTTAATGACATTCCCTTTGTTACATCGACAAGTCACAACTTGACTGAAAGTAGGTAAAAAAATTCTTATAAAATAATGCGGCCTCTGTCGGCGTTATGGAAATAAGTTTGAAACTTTATTCGATCGGAATTGACTGATAATAGAAGACGGAAATTAATATTCGATTAGCGAATAATGTGCAATGCAACATTTGCATATAAAAGATTTTTCAACGTATGCGTTATTCATGAGCCGGGCTTATCCGCGAAAAATACCTCGGGCAATATTTATAGTAATGCAAAATTAAAACAAAATTCTCGCAGTGAAATAAATAATATATCGGTTAGTTAAAATCCTAAATGAATTCTCCAGCCTATGAATATATTACGCGAAGGAATTATAGTCGACTCTATGTAGGAGAAAAAAAAAAGACCGAGGCGGTGGCAGCGTGGCGTAAATATGATCGATACGTAGCATACGAAGAATATTAAATAATGATCGGAGTGCTCTCGTATGCGATATTTTAGCCCATGATCGCCGGGTATCTATAAAGCACGCTCGTTCGGCTGTAAATCATAATGCGTTCGCGTCATCCGCTATAATAATTTAGCGTCGGAAGGGCAATCCTCCGCGCGGTGGACTATAATATTTGATTACTATCTATTAATTATGACTCGAGCGAGGAGAAGTGTTTCACGGTTCTCTAGACTTTGGAGATCGATATCATCAGCGCGGTGCATCGTTGCGATAATTCCGGCTCATGGGATCATTAATTATAGGAGCGTCACCACCATAGTATCGCGTAATGTTCCCGGTACCTGTTTCTGCGTCGCTTCTCGGTCGCGAGAAATTGGTCAGCGAAGTTTGCGAAACTAGCAGCCATCTGGATCTCATCGCTTTCGAAGTTTCGCCGAGCAGTCGCGGCGGCGCGGCGGGGGGAGGACGGAATTTGTGATCGCACGAAGAAAAGCTTCCATCGCGTCGCGTAATGGCTTTCGCAAGCTTTTACCGGTGAGAGGTTCGAAGATGCGTCCGCTCTTTGCGTTCAATTTAATAACTCGGTGCGCGTAACGTTGATTTCTATAATTGATTTCTTCAAGTTTTATCTTGGATGCGTTTAATATAACTAAAAATATTCTACCCTGTATCCCCATAGTTATTACTCTTCTTTAAAGATTTTTTATCAATTTCTGTTTTACAAAATGCTTCAATGAATTCACAAAAAGATTTAATATCCAACGAGATAAAAGGATTTCACATATATCATGAAACCATAACAAAAGAAATACGAATGATCGTCTTGTTTACCGTTGCTCTGCGTTTCCAAAAACCACAATAAAATCACGACAAAAATATGAGGTTGTTTTTATTGCGTTTCATGGATCAATAAAATGCAACCTTGTTAGCTTCCGAGAGCTTGCAGGAAAGAGATTCGACTGGAAATAATATTTTTCGACAGAATCGAATTATCTTAATAAAATTGCATGGAGCATAAAATATCTTTGTAAAACTTTAACAATAAATCGAATTTGCTTTCATTTGCAAACGAAAAAGCATAATGAATTTTTATACCGAATTAGATTAGAAGCAGAAAGTGATTATTGAAGCAGTTAAAAAATTTTATGTTTTTCAATTTTTTCAAATGTATTAATTGATTTTGCAAGTACTGCAATTTAGTTATCTCTATTAAATACATTTTTCATACTTTTGCTAGGATATCGTTTTTTTTTTTTAATAATGCCTCTTTCATAGTGAAGGAGGTAAATAACGCCACGGCATTTCTGTTGGAAACGACTTTACACGAGTTTTGTATACGTCGTAAAATGCGTGCATTCGGCAACCGCATCCGAGATATAAAGGCCTTACACGCGCTGTATGCAATTTATAACGACGGGAGTGCAATTTCACGTCGGGAATATATACGTGGCCGAGACAAATTTTATGGAAAATATAATACGAAAATATGAGCGCTCTCTTCCAGCCATCGATGTAATGTGTATTGCCTATCACCTCGCGAACATTCCAGCTTTTGCATGATTTCCCAAACTATGGGCAAAAGTATCTAATTTATATCTACTTATTATTCACACTTAGTCTCATTAACATAAAGTTATGAGGTATGTCTCTTTAGAAAGATAGTTTTCCGATATCTATTAATAAATTTGTAAAGATAAAAACCACGATAAATTTGCTCGTACAGATTTTTCTTTCCTCGAACTACCTCGAACTGCGCGATGCGGTGAATTTTCGTCAAATATTTTTTCTGTCGCGTTTAATTGGACTTCGTATTTTTTTGTGCGAACGATGGCGGTGAACGATTTCACGGCTCGAGGCTGTTTTCTCGGTCGAGATTTCAGGCCGAGCTGCATATCCTCGAAGGAAGGATCTCGTTGTTTGCACGCACGACAATGGCCTCTCGGCCGCCGCTCGGGGCGGCCCTTTCCCGAACCTCTTCGGAATCGACTTAGGACGGCATTGTCGTATAAGCTCGCTCGAGGCCTTCTTTCGTCGGCTTTCCCGCCCCGACGGAAGAGAAATTGCACCTTCGAGGCTTCATTGGGAGGAAGGGGGGGGAGGAGAGAAAGGGAATCCGTTTCATTCTCGCGTGATACGCCGAAAGTCATGTAAATGTAGATTAGGTGGTCCTCTTATGGGGGCGGCCTCCATTCGCGTTTGCATCGCGTCGGCATTGCCATTCAGCCGACGTTTTCCCCGAAGATGTATCTAATCTCGCACGATCTCCGAACTGGTCCACGGACCTCTCCTCCACCTCCCTCTGTCCAACCTATTTCGAATTCCTGACTTTTATTCGGGTCGCGAGCCACACAAAAAGAGACTCTTTCTTGGCTCTTCACGTTTCTCCCAAGATATTTTATCCTAATAACGATAGTAATTTCAACATTGGAATGTATAGTTAGAGTTAATCTGCTGAGAGGAGCGTAGAGGAATAAAATTTTCTTTGTGGATCAATATTTGATTATAAACGCCCGACATACAACTTCTGACTTTATTCGAACGACAGGAATGTAGGTTTAAAAATTGATATCCAAAATTAGGCACTCGACCTTCTTCATATCTATATGCTATCGCGACCAGTTCATTTGCCCTGAGCGTATGTACGTCAGCGGCATATCCAAGGGTAAACCGACGCCCTGTGCAACTACAAGAGCGCAACCCTTCCTGCCGGCGGCTTACGTCTCTACAGCTTGGCTGTCTGCTTGACGATGCAGATTACTTAACCCTACGTTTCGTGCATGATCGATGACTCTCGTCGTCGGAATTGACAAGTACCCGTCCGGTTGACATGCGGTCGATCGGCGGAGCACGTTATTAAACCGCCGTTCGCGTACGGACGCAATCCTAATACCAGCCAGAGTACACAATTTGCCGCGCGCAAATAGACCCTATAGATCAGTCCGAGAGTGAATCACCGTGCGCCTACTGTATTGCCGATAATAATGCGATCGCAAATTCGACTGACCTCCGTCCAACGGAGAGATACTGGCAATTAAATTCGACGTTTAATTATCGCTGTTTACGGGCTAGCGCGAAAAAAGTTTTTCGCCGATAAAATTCGTCGCCGATCCCCGACGTCGCGTCGCACTATAAGTATCGAGTTTCGAACAACAACTGTTACTATTATAAATGTTGGACTATTGCAAATTTCGTGTTGGATAAGTGACATTAGCATAATTTCTCATGTGTTTATCATGCATGCAAACAGCAAAATTTTTCCTATAGAAGAATGTACAGCTCGACCTGAAAATGAATTTCGACTGGAGAAACAGTTCTGGACTGTAAAGCTATTCGCGATACGTAATAATGAGAATCAACATATTGCGAGATAACAGAGCAGTTCGTACTTTACAAGTTATTTTTGTTAGAATAACGAAGAGCAGTTCGTACTGTACTACAAGTTATTTTTGCTGATCAAAAATCCACTCATACTATAATCGATGTCATGCATCAGTATGCATTAGCATATCATTCAAATGCAAAACTGCAGTTGCGTTATTTTAATAAAAATAAACGGCTTTGGCTTGATTGATGGGATTTAATAGGCTGTCCGAATAATTGCAATGTGTGCGGATAATGATAATAACAATTTAGCGAGTGAAATGGATTTGGCGTATATTGGTCACGTCGAATGTGCAGCTGCTCTCATGCAGAAATATTACAACGTATCAAAATGCATAAGTATCCAAAGTGCAAAATGCAGTGGGATATAATAACTCACATTCGCAACACGTCTGTGACCTAGCACGTACACCCTATACGTCGTATTTTGGAAGTGGGAGTGCTAGCGTAACGTAAAGTCACTCCCACTTCTGATATTTATTTCTTGTGAACGGGTAGCAACGATAAATTCGAGATTAGGACAATAAATTAGCAATTAATCATGACATATATTAGAATTTTTTTTTAAGTTGTGGGGAGTGCTAGATTCATAGACGTGTTCGCAACTGGCAACTGGTATGAAATCCATGTCGTAGATTGATGCTGCGTTGTCTTATGGCTTTATCAATTTTTTCTAAAATTATTAGCGACCGACAAAGTTGCATCCTTATATAACTGTGAACTTTATTCCGTAACTTTATTCTCGGCGACCTACTTTCTCGAGCAGTTACCGTTTTATTTTACTTTTTTGTTCCTTTTCCCTCATCTTGTGTTATCTCCTAATACATTGCGCAAGCACGTTGCCCTTCGTGGCTTAACGACGAATAATATTTAACAATCAGCTTATCCTAAATTACTTTCATGCAAAAAATGCGCTATTACAGTTAGTGCGATTTAAATAGTAAGTAAAAAAAGGTTTATGAGCCGACGATATTTATGCATTCGCGTTTTAAAATCGCATAATGTTACTTCTATTCGTTTGTGCTAATGCGCATTGCGCTAATATGTGACACAATCACGTTTTCACAATCATATATTATTGAATAAGAATAATATTGAATATCTATACAATATAATTGGTGCTACGTCAAAATTGATTTGAAACAATTGTAACCAAAGAATTAAGTTTTAGCAACTTAAAAAATGAGATTTAAATCGAAAAAAGTGACGTGTATCTTAAAATTCTTAAAAATTGAAAACTGATAAATTTGTATTACAAATTGATATGATTTTGGCATAAGATTTAAATGGAAAATATAATTTTAAAAAATTCGTAAAATTTAATTTTGCAATTTTGCGATTTTGACATAGCACCGTCGATATTTTCAATATTGTGCAGTATAACTCACCGAAACGGCGATTCTTGTCCAAACAATTTCATCGTCCATGGTCCTGAAATGATAAAATTGCAATGTTATCGTATGTCGAGAAAATTATTTTCCATGAATAAAAGTTGAATATGAATAAAAGTTCCAAATAAATGTATAAGTTCCTATATAATGTATAAATTTCGAAGTGCGCTAAAAATTATATTATTGCTCTCTTATTAAATTTTGTGGAAAGATTATTATACATGTTGATATATATTAATAAAAATTAATTTTAATACTGATATACATGAATAAAAGTTAATTTTAATAAGGATCGCAAGAGAGTGAAGCTAAATAAGGATGAAAAGTCCGCGTATTTTCAAATTTCTCTATACATATTCTGTTTGCCTTCTTAACACCTGGCGCTCGGAGTTTCACTCAACGTGCTAATTATTTCCGTTCACCTGATACACGGAGATTGCGCTGCTGTTTTTGTCATATACGCGAGACGGCAGGAGATATGACGTATATAGAAATTGGAGGAAAAGGGTGGAAGGATGGAAGCTAATGATCGGAGCGAGAGGAGATAATTAAACGCGGATTATCTCCGGTGAAATTCCAATCTCTTGTTCGCGCTAATTGGGACGGGAAGAAGACAGTTATTAAACAGCCTGCGGACAGATTCAATAATATTTTGCAATAACGAAGCCACACCGTCGATCAAAGGATGGGAAAGCGGAGGAAAGGATGCATTTACGGATCGCGATTCGAGCCAGAAATGCGGGAGTACGATTAACGTTCATCCCGTCGCGCGCACGCAGTGCCGCGCAACAAAGTTACAATCTCAATAAAAGTTGTTTATGCGGAAGCGCATGTGCGGAATGTAATTTAAACTGTTATCATCGTGCAACTCCTTCTTCCTCCTACCTCCTCTGAATTTTCCACGGCACGAAATTACGATTTTCGCGATATACACCAGATAAGGACGGCGCGATAAATTGCACGTTTTACGCGATCGCGATGTGCTTGTTAGCGAATAAAACTTACTCTCTCGCCGCTGCCGCGTGCAGATATTTGATTTCTAAATAAAACGCGAACATTGAAAAATACAACAACGCTCGCAAATTGCTTTCTCGATAAAGCAACAACGTTTGCATTTAGTTATCGCTACACAACTCCCCGTCGTTATTTGCCCGCGCGCACTTGACTTTCGACGATATTCCGCCAACATGGCCAATAAAAAGATTTTAAATTGCTTCGGCAATTAGTAAAGTACTAAAAAATTGATTTGCAAGAATTGTTTGTGTTGACGATGGATAAATACACAATATCACGTGATGAAATCAATTTTGTTGAAAGCCACTTCGCGGCGACATTTTCTTGCGTTACGTACAGGCGACAGCTTATAATATAACCAATACTTTTGAGCCATTAAAAACCAAATAAAAAGCTAGCGCTATACACAAAATAATCAATATACGTGCCATATCGACCATATCTTTTTTTTCTGTTCGTGCAGTCGTTTGTTTCCGGGTTTCTTTCGCGTCTGTCGTGAGGGGGGTGCAACAAGTGTTACGTTGCTCGTGTCTCGAGGCAAACGAGCGAGATACCGCGTTGCAAATCTACGAATAAATTTCTTGCACACCGACCACGGGTCTCGTTGGCTGTGGCTTGAATTGATATCTACGGCTCGTATTTCAGGATTATCTACCGGGATACGTTATTTTTGTTTTGCGTCAAGCTGCGTTTTAAGCTGGCTTACAAATGCCTCGGCATAAACTTCTCGCGGGGAAAAAAGGGGGGATAGATTCGCGCACGCGTGTGTGCGGATAGCCGCTTTATTAAAAATGCCCGCCATTTCAAGGGAGAGGGGGGGGGGGAGGAAGAGGTGGAAACAACGTTATTTGACATTTTACGCGGTATATTTATAAGCTTCCATTCTGACTTTCACCACGGTGAAATTACGGTCCCTTTTATCATTGTAGTCTGATTCATAAAGTGCGAGGGAACAGTTAATGACATGTAAAAGAGAACATTTTTATTTCTCTTGGTAATACAGGTAATATTACCGGCAATATGGTACCCACACTCCTCATTTTTCTCGCACGCCTTTAAAGCCAAGAAATTGAGAAAATACCTCTTTTCCGTATATACGTATAGCAAGTAAAAATGTCGGATGTATATGATTACAATAAGAAAAGAATTTATCGGAGAGGAAATAGATGAGAGATGCGCACAATGCGAAAGAAGAGATGAAAGATTCTTTTTCTCTACAAATCGAGGATTAAAATATCAATAATATTCAAGAATTCAAGTACGCGAAGTTTTCATGTCAAATTTACTTTTCTCTCGCAGATGTGCAGCAACATAAATCACATTCGCCGTGACGTTCCCACGAACGGGGATCGATTGGGACTTTTAGTCCATTGCAATATAAAACTATCCGCGCGTAAATCAAGCGCATGTCGTCCGCGCGCCCTCCCTCGCATGCTCGTTCGATATCACGCTCGCGACATTTGCATCGTTAGCACGAGCGTCTGCAAAAAAGGCGCTCACCGCTCTCCCCCTCTCCCTCCCTCTCGCTCTCTTCAAGTGGCACGTACTCGACGAACGCAATTTTCTTTTGTTTCCAGGCAGACCTATCCTGCAGAAACACGAAGCAGACCGTGGGCGCGATTTACACGCGCACAAACTTCGTGACGTTGAAATACGTCACCGACGCCTGGGGCACCAACTCGAATGGCTTCCGCCTCGTCATCACGGCCGTCAAGGATCCGAGTGAGTATTTGTCGATGCGAACCGTTTCCAACTTATTCGCGGGCCAATCGACTCGCTGACATGCAGAAATGCGCGGATCGCGAAGCGAAACGCGAAACGCTCGAAACAAATTGCAATTTTTCGATGCGTGTGATACAAGAGAGCGTATACATATATTATTTGTACCACGCATCTCTCCCGACATCAATGTTCCAAGTGAAAATGGTATTGCGTGCGAGAGTATGTACGTGAATTTCATAAATAACAATAAACTTGTGAAGAGAATTTTGCAACGAAAATATTTCATAGCATGCAAAAAGCTCTCTCTCTCTCTCTCTCTATACATATCTATCCAATCTGACAAAATAATTCTTGTGTTTACGCAATTCAGTGTACTTATCGTTAAAACAAATCACTTGGAGATTTACTCACTGAAGCACGCACAACTCACGGGATTTGGAAAATATATTTCCAAGTATATTGCTACGAGAGAATTGAAAATGTCGAGTTCTTTTCACAATTCCCCGTTCTCTTCTTTTCCACCGGTCGTTTTTATGCTTCACTGATTCTTTAATCCCTTCAAATTGTATCGCGGTCGCCGCGACCGACTCGAGATCTAAGTTTATCATTCAATCGCTTTTATTCATTAGCTCTCGCGAGCTATTAAATTTGCCTTTCAAATCCAGTTTCTTTAAAGCGCCGTGTCAATTCCTCTTCGTCCCCGAGATCTCCAGTATTTTCTCCAGCGGCCAACGTTTAATGCACGATTTCAGAGTGCAGTCGCTTAACTTCAATTAACATTGGAATACTCTATTCATGCGATACTGCTCGTACCAATGAATGACACCACAATCGAATCAGTCATCTGCGAAGCCGCATAACTACATGTATCTAAAAGCGAACTTTGGCGACGCACGAAGAGCATTTATTTCAAGCACAATAATAGTTCCATTTTCTGATCGATTTATTGATTTTCAATGTAGAAAGGATTAAATTACACATCGTTATGCTAAATATTAAATATTAAAACAATTCATTTGAGTAATTTTTAAATTGTGCATTCAAAAATGATAAAACAATTATTTTTTATTGAAGTCACATTCATCCACAGTTTGCTCGCAAAAATAAAATAATTTTCTCATAAAGATAATAAAAAAATTTATGGACAATTCTTCTTGTTTCTCTCAAACTTGATTATCTGCCGCTAACGTGGTTTTGCAAATCGGTTTAATTCGGCGTTTATTATTTAATTTCAAAAAATATGTCTGCGACTTCGTTGCAGAGTCAACTTTGTGAAATTCGCGCGAGACAAATAACTCGCATAACTGACAAGTTTAACGAGCCATTTTCCAAGTTTTACGCGAGATTGGCGAAACACGCGGGCCCGGAGACCGTTTTACATTTAACAACGTGGATTCGCGATGCGGTGAAAAGTTTGCGAATAAATATTGAATAAAATTTGTAATTGAAATAGGTGGTGACACGGTAAGTGACTGGTTGTTATTGACGCGTCGCGCGACGTCGAACGTGTGTACGAAATTTTAATTCAACGATTCGATTCATGATTGACCGATCGTCGCATGGGCGAGATTTTTTCGCGACGGCAACAGAGAAGCGCGACGGCGCGTTAACACACGAATTTCAATTCACTTCACTTCGTGCGACGTTTGTATTTCATATAGCTATATATCGGCGCGACGTGCAAGTATCGTGACGTCGGTCGCGAATCACAAACCCGAGTTGACATCGGACGTGTTAATGAAGAGCGATCTTGTTCGCGCGACAATTTTTCATTAATGGATACGCGAAGTGCGAATCGTGTCGGCTCGCGACGACGATAAATGCCCGCTCTCGCGCGTCGCTTCGTCGACGATTTCGTCGAGCGGACTCCCCCTCTCCCCTCCCCTTCCGCCGAAGCCGACAAAAGACCGTTAATAATACGGGGAACATTGAAATGAAGTGCTCCCACCTCGGCTTGTCTAATACCGGAGGAAAAAGCGTACCACATCGCTCCTCGCGAATCGTTATTTCGCCCCGCTCTCGTGCTCGTAAGATCCGGCGTAATATTTCCATGTAATAAGGTTCGTGAAAAACGAGCGCCGCGCCGGGGACAAATGCAGCCGCTATATTTTTATATCTTCACGCCGGAATCCTGATAAAATGCATAGGCGCTCAACGGCCATTCCGCGCCCTCTTGATTACGAAACGCGCGTTGCATCGATAAAATGCGGGTTTAATATACTAATAACATATTGTTATACACACAGTGATATGCACGACTATCATATATTCCTTTTATTTACTGCACTTGATTAATTTATAAAATATCCAATCCAATACAATGAAATAAAATATCACAATGAAATGTTCAAGTAACATGCAAGCAAGATATCATAAATGTGGACATTGCCGTTTTCCACACGTTTTAAAACATTTTAAAGTCTTAGGTCCGTAAATACCCCTTGTCAATTCTTCACAATAATATATATTCCTTCTATTTACACTTGATTAGTCTATAAAATGTCCAATCTAATACAATCAAATAAAATATCGCAATGTGAAATGTCACGTTCAAGTGACATGCAAGCATGAATCATAAATGTGGACGTTGCCCTTTTCCACAGTTTAAAAAAATAAATTTTAAAGTCTCAGATCCGCAAATACCCCTTGTATGAATTTTTATATTAATAATTCACAAAGAGACTTATTGATATTCAATAGTGTCATTATTTTCATTGAATAATTATTGGATGGGACCTGCATATCTCTCCCTTTTAGTCAATTCTTTCAAGAAAAACAACGATGTCCTACAATATTGTAATGTCATGTCACTAAAATACAGTGGCACTAATGGCAATAATAGCGAATATAGGGGCGCGTTAATCTTAAGCACTACGAGACTTCGTCATTTCACACTTGAGATCCACATCCAGGATGACTTGGGAGTCTCGGCAAAGTAGCTATCCAGTCCCGGGACTCGACAGGTGTCGAACTTTAGCTCTCGTCTGCCGAACAATTTCCTCAAGTTGTAATCTTCCGGCGGTTATAAGAGGCACTTCAAGGATAATCCGAGAGAGTTAATATAAGTTAGTTCAGAACTAAACACAGGATGCGAAATCTCGGTCGCGTACCATCCGCTGTTGTTCTTCGGCTTCTGTTTCATCGGTATCGCTTAAGAAGCACGGATCTATTCCGAAAAGATTGTTTGTTAACTTTACCGCCGCTCGCAACTTTCGCAATATCCACAACGCGAGGCGGAGCCTCGCAATTTTCCAGTGTGAGTTATTTATTGCACAGTTAATGCTTTTTGCGAAAGCAGCCGATGCTAAATAAGTATCTCGTGAGGCGAGAGAACACCCTGTTTGTCGCAGTTCTCAGTAAACATGGATACAGAGCGAATGGTTCAGAGAAATATTATTCACTCTGTTAAAGTTTTTAATAAATAAACAATCGCATCTCGCGCGAAATGAAATCCCATTATCCTTCGCTGAGTAACAGTCGAGCGAGAATAGCGTTCCAATGTACAGTCATGGACACATCGGTTGCGACACTTTCTTTTTTATAGGTTTCAAAACGGACTAATATTTTGCAAATGCGGACCACGATTGGTGTTATACTGTCTCTATAAGACTAAAGATGGTACATCGTGGTTCGCATTTACAAAATATTAGTTATCTATAAACTATATATTATGTATATTAAATATATATTAGAAACCTATAAAAAAAAGTGTCGCAACCGATGTGTCCACGACTGTACATTATACTTCGTAATATCGACGCTTCGCGCGATCGGGTCGAATCGAAATCGCCTGGATTGGTGGACAACGTCGGGACCAACGATCTCGACAGCCGTTGTCGCAGGAATCTCGCATAGCTAAACACGCGCGCTCGTTATCGAGCTCGAGTTACGGTTCAGCGACATCACGGGTAACGTCGCACCAATTTGCCGTAATTATGCAGAATGTGAACCGCGAGAGCGGCCGCGTTTACCGTCCTCTTTCCGCCCGTCCCGCCGCGACGCGACCGTACATCCCACGGTCGTCCCCTTCACGTCAGTTCATCCCTTTTAATGCGCGCCGCCGCGTTGCATCCCTCCCGTATTTCGTATTCGAAGCGATCCGGCACAGACGCAAACGTTTCGAGGCATGGGCTACGATAATTATTGCGCGGTTGCGCGATGTGCTCTTTCCTTTTTGCGCGACGCTAATTACCCTCGCGTGATTAATTGATGGGCGACGAGGACCGACGGCGGCGGCTTTAACGTGTGTCGAGGATGCAACGAAGATACATAGCTAACGAAGTCTCTGTCGCTCGCTGCAGGAGGACGGGGACTCTCGATGTGGGACACGGATTGGCAGGAAATACATTTTACGCGCGATCCGTTTTCTCGGTTTCGTTGCAAAAAAAAAACGCGACATTTCGACGTGATGTTACATGGACCTTTTATACCCCCGCAGATTTATATCTCGTTCGAGCGCAACGATGTATCCCCTTTATCTCAATTTTTTTTCCCACGAAATTAGCTGTCGCATCAGCGACATTCTATCATGATGTCGATATAGTGAGGTTATACATTTTCGAGAGATGTTCTCCTTCTCTTTTCAAATGTGACGCGAAATATTCAAATCCGTGGAAAATGAGAATTAGAATAGAGCTGTATGTAAACCCATCGAGATTTTACTATTCAAGAAAAAAAGTTTAGGGACAATTCTAGTTAAAACCTAGATAATCCTTTTATATTATTGGAAAACGAAGAGAAGTACAGATCAGGAGGTATCGAATTGTTAAACGAATAAAGGGAAGTAACCAAATACCTGACAAGTCAATTACAGTTACCGATGTCTCGGATCTCACAACACCCGGAATTTCATGATCGCCGAGTAATTAATTGGCTCACGCGCCGGCCCGAGAATTTCTTCCGATCGAGCAGCCGGAATCCCTGCGAGGGCTATCACGCGCGCTGATAAATTGGAACGCGAACGATCACGCGCGGGCGCGCGGGCGGGCACCCACCACGGA